CTGACAAAACTGAACTTTTGACATGCGTCCACAAAGGTACAAAGATGAAGCAGGATGATTGGTAGAAACGCTTGTAAATACATGCATCTTGTCATAGTGCCTTTTTATATCTAGAAATAATATTCAATATCAAGTTCTACATTATTTCACAACAGCTAACGAAACTTTTAAATGTGCGTTATAAAGAAGCAGCATGCTGTTTTGTAATGCGCATTACGTAGATATTAGTGTATCCTGTAGGGTGTTTAGGACGAAGTAAATTGTTGGAGTAATTGCTATTTATAATATTTAAAGCAAACAGCTACCGGCGCTTAAAAAATGCTCAATAAATTGTAAAACAAAATTTTCACTACAAAATTCCAGGAATTTTCAAGTACCTTTTAAGCTCGAAAATGCCGCGATTTTCAAGGACTATTTTTGAAGATATTTTTGTTGTTTGCGAATGTTTCCAGTAGCGATTTTCAAAAATAGCCACATTTCAATCCAAACGGCAGAAGGTTATATGTTAATTTCATCAGATTCAAGGAGTTTTCCAGGAGCCTTAGCGATTTTTCCCATTTTCAAGGGCTTTTAAGCGCCCTTGAAAACGAGTTTTCAATTCCAGGAGTTTTCAAGTATTCCCGTCCAAGGAGTAGCGCGAACCCTGGTAAAAGGTGTATAGTAAAGTACAAAGCAAGTTGAAATTTACTTAAAGGGCCCTCTCTCAACTGCATCCCTTACGAGATTTTGTTCATAATTTGAAGAAAAGGACATCGTAACATAAACAAAAACTTTAATGATGACACTATGCACTTTGATACTATGCACTATGATCTGAGGTTTCGAACTCGCTTGAAAATTGTCTGCAACTTCGCGGGCCCATTAGCATTGAAAAAACAACAACGTTTTTAAACACCCATTTAGAATATACAATTTAAGAGCGCTTTCCATTTGTCAGAACTGGCTGGCCAGACCCAGATAAAATGTCATTATATATCATTCCTATTTGATAGTTGGGAAATTCAAATTTTCAAATTCTATCCATTATTCTATAGAAAACCWCGAAATGACTGAAAAATGTYGMCAAAAAGCATMATATACCTCTAAATAGAGCGGACTGGCCGGCCAGTTCTACCTAAATGGAAAGCACCATAAATATATAACTGCAATAAACACGTCTTTTAATATCGTGTACAATTCTATTATTAGCAATGCAAGTATCGTTCTCAGTAAAGGTAGATACCTTGAAATGACCTATTCCCATATTACGCTTGACCGATGAGCTATCATGTGGAACTATAAGTCCTCGCCCGGCTATCAAAAGGTAGTGGCTAAAGGTAAAACCGTCACATTTTGTGCAATTATTATGTGGCGTCCAGCAGGACAACAAGCTTTAATATTCCCACTATTAGTAAAAAAATGCGAAGTTAAAGAGACAAAAGAAAAAAAAGCCAGTTAAACAAAATAGCCAATTATTACCATCCTAAACTGTTTCCTGCACTGACCATCTTGTTAATAGCAAAGGTAGAGTTAGACTGGACTATATAGTTCATTGAATTTTTCACAAATCAGAATAGAAAGGCTGTTGCCCGTACTGACTATCTTGTTAATAGCAAAGGTAGAGTTTAGACTGGACTATATAGTTCATTGAATTTTTCACAAATCAGAAAGTATAATTTATATCTATAGTCCTCTATATATAGGTCATGACTATTTCATATTTCCTTTCATAAAAAGGCTTTAGACAGTGATTCTTACCTTTATAATGTCATTCAAGAATAAGGAAGTTATAACATGCGAAAGACCTGCTATTCAAACTATGGCTTCGATCTCGAAGCGCTGTGTAAATTACGTTGCTCAGTAATACTGAACATCGACTTCTAATTAAAACGTAATGATCTATCACCAAAAAGTTCTTTTTATTAAATCTAAACGTCACGTGATCGTTTGAATATATTTAGGTTTTTTTTTCAGGGATGGGTTCAGTTCAACCGAGCTTGGCGACACAAAAAAATATGCAAATTAATTGAACATATTACTAAAATCCCTTGTCAATGCATCAAACAAAATGGGCATTTATCTCAGAATTATGGATGGGCTAATCCAGCATTTTGATTAGCAATTGAAATATTCGTCATATGTTGATATACGGCCGAGTACGGTCGCATTGACTATCATCTCGTAGTCCCCTCGACCTTGAGTTTTAATTGTAAATTCTACGCTGCAGGAAGGCACCAACAGCTGGGTTTGTCACTGTACTAACTGATCTATATTTCAATATTTCGAAATATATTAGTCAAATATTGCATGTCCTCTTAAAAATGTCTCCTACAATGTACTATGTTTGTCCAAGTAAACTTAGTAATCAAAAACTGATTGAAACGTTTTACCGAATATCTTTTGACAGCGAGCTCCATTGCACGATATATTTTATTTTTACAATTGTAGCCTTCCATTTAGTTCTCTTTTTGTTCTCTTTTCTCTTTTTATTCCTTCTTACTTTCTCTTTACTCCATTTGCCGAATTTTCTTGTTGTTTTTAAATTACTTTTGACCGTTGTAATTTAATCATATTATCTATAACTACTATATAAGGCCCGTTTACACTTGCGATTTTTGCAGCGCGATTGTCGCCACTTAGTTATCGCGCACCTCAAATCGTACGTGTAAACAGCGCTGCGATTGTCGCGGCGATCAAAAATCGCCGCGAGTTGCAGCTAAATTTCAAGCTTGTTCGAAACTCAGGCGATTGTCGCGCGACGATCGCGCTTCAGAACAGGCCTTAATTAACTGATTGTACATTATAATCATATTCAAACTGAAGATGGTTTGTCGAAACATGTATTTGAAATTTAAAAGTGTTGTGTTATTTTTAAATTTTAGCATTTTCAAATGCTTCTGACGTAACCGTGAACGTAACGACTACGCGTAACCAAGCACAAGATCAAGCGTGCCCTAAACGACGCCTACCCTGACGCCTACCGAAAATACAAAGGCAGGGAGGGGAGGGTGGTGAGCTGAAATTTAGGTCGAATTCCTTATGATTCAATACTGGGGACGAAAAATAGAATTGATACAAATAAAAAAAATTAATACTATATATTCTACTTATAATTATTATTATCATTATGTTTATTATGCAAAATGTCTCACACCTGCAGATGACAATTTCTCCCCTGGGTGCCCCCCCTGAGTGCCTTCATCGTAAACATGTTTATATTCAGCTGACGAATTCATTTCGTATTTCTATAAATTTAGCACACCTCCAGATCTACTCATTCTGCAAAATGCCTCCAAAACGATCCAAAGCTTCAATTGACACCGAGAAAGTTGCATCGTCTCTCTTTAAGACGATTCATGTTCCTGAGAGGACGTCAATTAAAGCATTTGTAGAGAAAAACAAGTTAGAGTTTGCTGCTGGTCGAGGATTCTACCAACTCAACAAGCCCGAAACAATACAGTTTCATAAAGAAATTGTTGTGAGAAGAAAATCTGATGGCGCGTTTGTCACTGGAGATGAGGTAAAGGAACTTTTTACACTTGTTAACTGATATAGCTACATACTTACTATGTTATTAAACGTTCGTTTCTAACTGCAACATACCGTACTAGCGTGACTCGCTGACATTCTCTTAACATTTTGTGTTTATTTTGAGCTCTACTCGACGAAAATTGTATTTGAGTTCTAGATGCAACAATTCTTGAAAACTTCATCTATGGCTATTTATAATCGATTTTTTGGAATGATTTCTGATGTCAGCGTATTCTCAATGAAACTATTTCTTTTATGTTACTTTGTGTTCGACTATGCATGCTATAGAAATATATATTCATAAAAGACTCTAACAGTAGAATTCAATTATTTTGAAATGTCATGTAGTTTCATAGTATGCTTTTTTATCTTGCGAAAATTGGAAAACATTTAAAAAACTTGAAATTCGAGCAGACCTCTTTAACATATATTAAAATCATAAAGAATTATTTTAAAAGCAATATATATTCAAAATCTTTGTTGGCATTTTTGTTAATTTTACTCCATCCTGTTTTTTCAAAGACTTCATTGTACCCCTGCACTCATACTTATACCAAGGGCGCGGGTGCAGGGTGTTGATTAGGGTTGATTGGCTACTCCCCCTTAGTAGGTTCAAAAAGCATAAAAATAAAAATTATGAAAAACAAAACAAAACAAAAGAAGAAAGAAATTTGAATGGGATGAATTATGAAAAATAAACTTTAAAGCAGCATTTATCTTAATGACATGTTTATTATTCAAGAACTTCCCACCCTCCTTTAACATTTCTCAACCCGTCACTGTATACACATGCTTCTTACCACATGGATTGATGCCTTTTTCCAATATGATTCCTTTTCAGCTCCGACCAATACTTGGAATCTCAAAAGAGACCACCAAGTTTAAAATGGATAAAGAAAAGCTTGAAGACTTTGATGTCTTCATCCAATCCACATCGTACAACAGAATTCTCTTGCCAGACACAGACTTCTTGTACGATACAGGAAAGGAAAGTGATGCGGCATCAGCTAAACCCAAAGCCACCCCAGCTGCTGCTTCTACTGCTACTAAAACTAGAGGCAAAGGAAAAAGAAAAGCAAAGGAGGTATTAAATAATGATTCTTTTGTATTGCAGTTTGTTTTTGTTTGTTTTTGGGGGGAGGGGGAAGGCAAAGGGAAATGCCAAATTAGCTTGGTTTTAACATCCCTGGCAGGCTGTTGGCATCTCATTTTCATTTTGCCAGTGTATTCATCACGGACAAGAGAGCAGTTTTTAGAGTAGGGGGCATTTCCGTCTTCCACCCCTCCAACCCCTGTGGTCACCACAGGTAATCCATTCTCATCTTGGGCAGAAAATTCTTCCTTTAATATTCTTTTATATATTTTTTTAGCTTAGCCAAAATATCAATCTCATTTCTACAAAACGTAGAAAAAGCTCTTCTCCAGCCACCCTTCTCCACCATCCCTGTTCACATTTGTTATTGAATGCAGTGCACCTAAATAGTACAATACATAGTTTAAATAAGCTCACTTTTTATGGCATATAATTTAACCAAGACAGGATTTCATACTCTATTCCTCGATTGTTTCAGCCAGAAGAAGAAACAGCAAAGGAAGAAATTCCGAAGCCCTCTCCAAGTAAAAAGTCAAAACCAGAGGCTTCGTCTTCTGCTGCCAGCTCTGCAGAGGTTTCTAGCGACGTCAAGGAAATTGTGTTTTCCTTTGACACTACTGGGTCCATGTATCCTTGCCTAACACAGGTAAATGTGACATTAGTATTATAAGGGCAACCTTTGTAAAACACAGGCAACCCAATAAGCCCTGCAAGAGTTTTTAAACTCTAGTATGGTGTGGTTGTTTATCGTGAAATTCAGATCTGGCTAATATGAGTCTATCATAGTTTGCCGGGCTAAATCATTAAGTGTGCCTAGAGAAGAGTTAAAAAAGAATATTCAAACAAATTATAGATAACAAATTATTATTTTTGCAATTTTCATTTTTTAATGTTAATGTTTATTTTGTCTTAATTATAAACTGATACTCTCCTTTGTTGCATGTTGTTGTTCGGCTTGTTGTGCCCTCCCTAAAAGACTCTTGGCATTTTGGTCATACTTTACGACACAGTTGGACATCATTTGATTTCTTGCCATTTTGTAGTCTTGGGGGAGGCACAGGAAGCCCAAACTAATAAGTACAAACTAGCCTTATAGACTAAGTAGCCAAATAGACTAATAATGTGATCATTAATTATGAATTTAAACGTTTCTTTTTGTTTAATAACCAGGTTAGGAACAAAATAGAGCAGACTGCTAACCGTCTATTAACTGAAGTAAAAGGAATGAGAATCGCGATATTTGCCCATGGGGATTATCAGGATAAGAGAGCGACATATGACACAACATGGCTGGACTTTACCACTGACAAGAAAAAGATCGCTAAGTTTGTCAAGAACGTGTCGTCAACGTGTGGTTATGATTCAGATGAATGCTATGAATTGGTTCTTAGGCAGGTACGTTAAATATGTGATTAATAAGCACGTGGAGTAGCAGAGTTTCCCCATGTACATGTACTATATATCCTCTGAAACCAAGGGGTACCTCTTTTTTTTACGTTCTGTTGCTCAAAGGCCACAATCTTATCCAAAATAACCGGAAACATCCCTACCCCCTTTCCCCACTGCAAGGTTGCACACCTGTCCCTTTCCTCATCCTTGTCGATTTTGTATGTAGTAACACAATCATAAAAGGTGATTCACATAATTTTGCAAAAGATTGCAGCTATACGAAGTCAAAAAATTATTGATAAACGCGTTCATGATAACAATGACATTGTAACTAAAGGACTCTTTGTACTTCCAGGTGCAAACAGAGCTTTCCTGGACACCAGGTTCCCAGCGAGCATTGGTCATGATAGGTGACTGTTGTCCACACCCTCCTAATTACCCCCTGAACACCTTAAAAATCAACTGGAAGAACGAAGCTAAGAAGTTATATGAAGAGCTTGGAGTGCGCATATACTCCATCCAATGCCTTGGTTATTCAGGGGCCAATACCTTCTACAAGCAGTTGGCTGAACTGACATGTGGATGGCATCTAAAACTTGACCAGTTCTCAACCATTGTAGATTTCTTGACTGCAATCTGTTACCGAGAGCAGGGAATTGAGAGCTTGCAAACTTTCGAGGATGAAGTCCGTGGACGAGGATCTGGTATGAATCGAAGCCTCCACAAGCTTTTTGACACGCTGTCGGGCCGTACTACCACGTACGAGGCTGCCTCCGAAGGTCACGCTGACTTTATACCTGTTGATCCGTCCCGCTTTCAAATCCTTGATGTTGAAGAACGATGCGACATCAAATCGTTTGTTCAAAATCATTCACTGATCTTCAAAACTGGAAAGGGATTTTACGAGTTTACCAAGCCTGAAAAGATCTCGCATAAGAAGGAGGTGGTTATTGTACTCAAATCCACAGGAGATATGTACACTGGTCAGGAAGTTTGTGATATGATTGGCGTTAAGGGTGATGGGAAGATTAAGGTGCCATCTGATTTTGAGAAATGGCGGATCTTCGTACAAAGCACGTCGTATAATCGAGTTCTGATGCCAGGAACTGGGTTTCTATACGAAGTAGATACTGATCATTAGAAAAAACGTTAAAACCCACGCTTTTCCACCCTATATGTACTTTGCAGACATTTTTATTGTTGTCCGGAGGAAGCATGTTAAGAAAAGAGTAAATTGCACAAAATTGCAATATCGTACATATTCAGCTATTTCAGAGAACGTTCTATACTGATACAGTCAACTCTCGCTATTACGGACACAATCGGGACCGTAATTCAGTGTCCGCAGTAGTGAGAGTCCGCAGTAGTGAGAGTCCGTAGTAACGAGAGTGACTTTCAATCATTTCTTTGTATTTTTTGCCGGGGATTCAGTATTTTACTGTCCGCAATATCGAGGTGTCCCGGCGTTGTAGCGGGGTGTCCGTAAAGCGAACGTTGACTGTAGATACTGTATTCAAATACCAAAATGCATTCTTTGGTTGTACTATCGCCGTTCAAAAGGAGTTTTCATGGCTTCAGAGTGACTATACAAGCTCCGTACAGTCGAAAAATCGAATGAAATAAGATTAGAATTGTCACTCTGTAATGCAGCTGACATGAGTTTAATAGCAACAATGCATTGCGGTCTTGGAATGCACTATGCAGAATAAAGTGCTCATGGCTTTACACTCTCCAAAGAGTATAAATTCAATTTGTTATTATGTAGTTTATTAGCAACAATGCATTGCGGGCTTGGAATCCTCTATACTAAATGCAGTATTCAATATTCAAGTAGACGTACACTCTCTAAAGAGTATAAATTCAATATTTCTAATTATGCACCTTGTAAAGGATTACACTTAGATTAAGGGAACTGTCACAGGAATCTTGTTGTACAATGAATCATTTTATTTAATTTATAGTTAATGGGAAATTCAGCAATTAAAATATGTTATTCACAAAGTCTGCCTTTTTGACTTTTAAATATTTTGAAGGTAAACGTCTTGCACGAAATCTAAGGAAACTAAGCTTCTAAGTTCTCTTCTCTTATTCTCACCTCCCCTGAGAGAGGAGGGGGAACTCCCGTTGGCGCACAGTGCATTTATTAAATAAATACTAAATAATTGGTGATAGCTAATCGCCCTTCCTCCCAGCCCGGGTGCAGCTGAATTACTAAGGACGCGGCTCACGTGATGGAGTCGGTTATGCGGTATACGAGTGCGCTATCATTATGAGGACAATCACATAGTTACAACACACACACAAAGCAGCCAACCAATCGCCCATATCTGATCACGGAGCACAGCTAGGATCGAAAYGWTCCGTTTTATTACAAATTSAGTTCTTTTTTTATTCACATGAATTTGATGTTACTCTGATTCTGATTGGCGCATCTGTTAAAATATTTTGAGGCCGAAAGAAAATTCCGGAAAGACACATTTTCCACTAGAATATTTGTACTTTTTCTTGCGCTTGCTCCTCTCAAAAGTCAAATGGACAGCCTTGAGTGCGACGTTTGAATGTGCGACAGTTAAAAATGGACATATCGATAACAAGGGCTATTACATGTAAACACAATCACACTATAATAACCTTTTTCTATCGCTTGCTCCCCTCAAAAGTCACATTTAAGTGCGACGTTTGAACAAGGCCTTATGACGACACACGTTAGCTACTAAAGATGGTCATATTGATAACAAGGGCTATTAAACATTAATACCCGAATATATCAATCTGATGTCGCTTCGATAACCATTAAATTACTTAATAGAGATAGCTAGGACTTCAAAGAACTGCGAAGTCCGTTAAAAGCACTAGACTTTGAGATAACGCTGATAAAAAAAACTCCAAGCAATTTAAAGATTATTTGTATTTCTTCTTATCTGCAGTGTATGCAGGGAGCGTTATATCGGTGGACGGGAAATTGTAGTTGAAGTTCTACTTGGATAGATAGCTCTTTAAATGTTAACATATCGGAGGGGAGCACGACCTCGCAAGGGTTGTGGGAGGCCGGAGGTTGGTTAATTTATGAAAACGCATCAGAAATATTTAAAATGGTTATTATATTTGGATAAAAAGAGATGAATCTATTTCAATATTCAATGTACTGAAATTTGATATCAGGGGGGGGGGTGAATCTATTTCAATATTCAATATACTGAAATTTGATATCAGGGGGGGGATTTGTTTTTACAAACTAAAAATGTTTATCCAGGCGAGCCGGTGACGAAATGTTTGTCTAGAAGAGTCCTAGCGAAAAAAGGAAATTATCCGTGAGCGAAAATACTTCTACATTTCCAGACATTGATCACTATAATTATATAATTTTGAATTTGAACTGAGTTGAACTGAATTATGGTATATTAACCGTTCTATGTTCAAACGAAATGTACATCAGAAATGAATCTAAACTTTAATGACAAAGGTTTTTACGATAATAACTAGTGCTATCTAGCAAGGAATAAAGACAAAATATCAATCAAACAACGTGTTAGATATGGATGGCCATACATTCTTAAATTCACTATAGCCAGTTTCAATACTGCAGTGGACCTTTCATGCAAACCACCTAATAATCAAAGAACCACTAGAAAGTAGAATTAAATACTTCATAAAAACCTGTGTTTAACACAACAATAGCCTTTTTAACTTGGAAGTCTAAAATCATCGAGAATATCTTTGATGGAGGCGTACGAATCGACATTTCAAAAGAAGTGGATTTTGCAGGTGGAGAAAGGTCCAAATCCGACGTCTCGTCCGACTATATTAAATAAGAAAGACGTGACACATCTCTTTGTAAACAATTACGCTTGATTTTCAAAGACTGTGACTTTTAACACATTTATTTATCCATCTTTTGTTGTCGTCCATTTTCTATGTTTGATAACTTGAACCGGAGTGTCAAAGGTAGTGACACTGCACACAGGATTTTAGCGTGTGTTGACTCATTGTGGTATTGTGTCTATTGCGTTATAATTGAATCATTTTCGATAAGTCCACACGCCACAAGAATTCAGGAATTGAAGGTTGGATATCTAAGTAAACTAAGCACTTCAAGCACTTTATTAATGGCGGTGCCATGTTGTATTCAAAAGTTTTCTCAAATAGAATGGAAGATGGAGTATGTTTGACTGGTCCCTAAATGGTCTAAATATGTTCACTCGTTCGTGCGTGATGGCAAAGATCCCACGCTAAAGTTAACCTGTTTTTCAAAAGATTCCTTCTTTAGTTTATATATCATGCCACATTATTATTTAGTTCCGTAGAGTTTACTATGAAAGAGATACCAATGTCTTTTTCAAAGGCGAAACATCGAGCCATTATCCGTGTAACTTTTAAACTAAGATGTATTTTATATGGAAACTTAAAAACAGTTCAAAATTACGCCTTTCAATTTAACTTCACCTATATGATCGGCGAAGACAAAAGCAGCCTTTTAAAGTCTTTTGTGCGACGAACAGAGCTTTTGTTCGCGAATAATTCGGCTTAATGCAGGTGGCCTTACTAGTCAATGCCTTGTCAAGGCATTCAGATGTGCACTATCTCATGAGTGTGCGACATATACTTTACTTTCGGACCGTACTCCACGACTACTTGTGATTTACAATCGTGTTTCAAGCATATATACTTAGCTTATCGGAGATGTTTTCGTGGAATAAGAGGTCCTTAAGATATACTGAATTAGGAAGTTCATACAGATCAGCTTGTCGATAACGTGATGGTGATGTTTGTACATAACAGACATTCATTGCTAGCTAAATACATTCTGTTACTCGACCAAATGTTCCATTACATACAAAGGTCTCTAAATGGCGATGCCTGCCTTTTACCCGATCCAATTTGCGAGTAAGCGAGACCTTATAGTAGAGTGCCTAAATGAATAGCTGTCAAATTTTATTGAAAACTGATTATGAATGTCGAAAGGGAGGTTGCTTTGACCTTGTTCACAAAAAGGGGCTTATCGATAAAACATGTATTATAGAGGACGTTTAGTAAGAAGTAACTTTCCTTTTCTAACTAAAACGATAAAAGATAAATGGATTTTTGTTGTGCAAATGAAGTAGATGTTACAACGTTTCAATGATTGATTTTTGATCTATCTTTTAGTTAGTAAATGAGAAACATTTTTCCCAAGTAGAGACCTATAGACTTTCTAATGGAGACTTAGTGACTAAGTTTCAACTTTTTGTTGGAATCGGAACATCTCAGCGGGCCTTACACGTGAACGAGTTTTCGCAAGAGAAAATTAGCTCGATTATAGTCCAGCTCAGTTTTTGTATGAGAGAAACAAGAATGCAGAATCACTGTGAAAACGCATTAGTTTCAAGCAGTGCTCGAAAACTATGCAGTTACTAATTCTTCACACTCTGTAATTCAACTCATTTTCGCGGCAATCTTGCTTACCAAGTAACAAACTAACAACTTGATAAAAAATAATCACAGAAAACAAAAGATACAAATTGTTTTTGGTGATTCTACACATTTCAATGCCACAGGTTGCCATATAGGTTTTGTTAGATTGGCGCCGGAGCGTTTCTTTTATTTAATGGCGATCTTCACAATGGACACTTTATATCTTGAGACTTCTCTCTAGTTCTACCAATAAATGATAAGATTTTGTTTCGCAAAGACTTATCTGTTAAGACTCGGTACAAAATCACAAATACACTTTTATTCGTTGGAAGCGCAGTTTCGCAATTATTTTTTAATTAATAGTGAACAAAGATAGATAGTTACTTTTATTGTATGCACATTGCAGTCACTGTCTAAAGTACGTACAAGATATGTATACATGGGCTAATAAAATTTACTGTTTACTATGTAAGAAATACAGTGAGTTTTGCAGGCGATTCCTTTGAATTTCGCATCGTTTTTCCATAGTTTTGTTCTAATAGCAATGTGGGTCTCCTAGTTTGAATTTCTGAGTTCTGCAAAGTGAAGCTGAATTCCTTAAGGTAGACAAATACGAGATATAAAAGACCTCATCTTGCCGTTCCGTGCAAGATAGAGCAAACGGTTCTGGTTCATTGATACAGAAAAATGGTCTCTAAATAGACGCTATTTGTTAGTATTTAGTTTGATTTTATTTAATGGTTTTTCCTGCGTTTGCTCTAAGCGTCAAAGTCTTTCGTTTTTACTTATGCAAGAGTATCATATCGCGCAAGCGCAATATGGAGATGGAGAAACATTGACGCTAGACTTATAGCAACAGCAGTGTGCGACAAGTTGAGTTTTCCACGTAAACTACTCCTTTTTTGCACTCCCCGCTTTAGAAAAGTTTAAACTCTCAATCGGTCAGCTCAGTCAGAATTCAGTTTGTTTTTTCTATTTTTTTCTATTGTGTTTCTATTCGTTTAGAGTTTATCTAAAGTGAAGCCATTAAACCCGTGAAACAAAACTGGACTGTTAAAGTGCGATAGTCAAATAGACAAAAAAGAAAACAATGCAATTAAAGGGTACTAAGGTGTTCTAGTGTAATATCTATTTCACGAGTTTTTGACTCACTCTCAACCGAAGAACGAATCCGAAAACGTGACAAATGCCTAGACTGTACTGTACTACGATAAATTTCTTCATTGTTTGATTAGTTAATCATGTAAAATAAAGTTATTATTATTAATCAGATTATTAATATTATATTATTTTCATTTTTACACACTTGGGATTATAATTAAGATTATTAATGTAAATTGATAAGAAAAGAACTCTAGTATATTTTTATGTAATGTAATATCCTTTTGTACATAGTTTACTGTAATTAAATATTATTACATAGTAATTTTTTTAATTTTAATCAGATTAATTGAATAACTGATCGAATACTTAGAATTCGCACAGTAAATTCATCCTCCGTAATTTTTTATATGTATTTCCATCAACATTACCGAACTTGGCCAGCATGAATCCTCAAACGAAGGGATAAGACAGTAAGACCCTGGAGACACTGTTGATCAACATAACGT